TTCCACCAACAATTCTCTAACAGGACTCCCGTATCATTTAAAGCGGTTGATGAGCGATTGGTTCATTGTTGATAAGTCTATTAAACCCGAAGATGAAAATGAAGGTTTGATTGAAATTCTATTAATCTGTGCAAACGCTTTCTTGTTATATGCTAGTTCTAATTATCTTATTCATTTAGGTGAAAATATTTCAAGTGTATACTTGAATAAACATATACCAAAAAGAAAGGTTGAAGAAATATTGCCGTATGATGCCAATTTTCGGAAAGAGCTGTTATCTTTATATCAAAATATGGGCTATGTATCAGCTTTACTTGAAAGTTCATATCAACACTATGAACTTGCTTCTTTTTTGGTAGATGATGACGGGATTAATAAGCAATTTCGTTTGCATGTTGGGGAAATTATCAGCATATTCGAAGAAAATGGTGAAAGCTTTGCAATTTTATGATCAATATTTAACCATAAAAGAAACAATCAACGCTTTGCTTTTAATAATATCAATAGGTTTGAAATCACCAATCAAACGAAGTTGGAATGTCCGGTTTATAGACTCCAAGATAGAAGAACAATCCATCCTATAAGTACAGTAAATACAAATGTTACTGTTCATTATTGTAACGATGAATGCAATGGTAGTCATGAATTTGGAAATGGTTTATATATAATGAAATATTGAAAATACATTTACGAAATATTCAATACATTTATTTCAATTGTTTGCGAAATATTTAATACATTTTTTTAAATTATTAACGAAATATTCACTTAAAATTTAATAATATGTTTATTAGTTTTTATGATATCTTTAAAACGCGTTTACAAGATTTTATTAAATTCATTACATAATCATTACTAAATTTTAACTAATATTTTCAAAATATTTAATCATTAGTTTATTACTATTTGTTATGTTTTAATAACTTAGATAATATATTTTTTATAAATCTTCACTATTCCGAAACAATCGTATACGATGGTCTTAATACCCAGTAACTGCATATATTCTAATGCATTACTGTAGTAACTACATATAGACTAAATCGTATCGGATTTACTGCTAAATTCTATACTATTTTATAACGGATTTATCACTATTTGGTTTCTTTCTATTTTGTCACTAAATCTGGATTTCAGTAAAGTAGTACTCTATCGCCATTACTTGATGGAATATTTACCGGTGTTGACACAAAACCTAAAACTTCACCATCTTATTTTTTGATATCTTCAACAAAAAAAAAATAAAAGTTTCGTCCATCATATTATAATGATTTGGAAAAACATTCAAATCTACATCGGCTTTAGGAGCCGTTTGTAAAGATGCGGAATGTGCAATGTAAACAGGAAGTTGAACTGCAAGATCCTTTCTATAAAATACAAATAAATAAAATAAATAAAGTAATTTTATGATTCTTTTCATATTTTATATTTTATCATTACATACGTGAAAGGTCCCAATTATAATCATATTACAAAATAACGCACAACTTCAAATTGAGCCGTATTTTTTATGGTCTATGCATTTTTCTAAATAAATATATTTTTAATATTAATTTCGAAAGAAAAAAATAATAATAAATAAAATTACATTTAAAACAAAAAGCACACTTATAGGAACATTAATATGAAATGTTTTCGAACGATCCCCTCAACAATCAAATAAGTAATTCTTATTTTTTACCCATGCTTCAACTATTCAATTTTTAACCTCATCATTCTTTTTTATTTTTATTAGCAAGAATTAAAAGTTTTTGCGTGATAACAATCTTTAACCCTTGAAACTAAAAAATAAATTGAATTAATAGGTTAAACTAATATAAAAATAGTTACGAATAAAAATATCTACATTAATTTTATTTACCATTTTTGGGGGTACAATTTTCAAACGTAACTGTACCCGAACCACCCATCCGTAATTGTTTACGATAGACAACATCTACAGGTTGTTTGTTGGTTGGATTTTGTCCACCCCAAGCCTCAACTACAAGGGCTTCATTTGATTTTAATAGAGTATCTTTATTATTATTCTTAAATTGAACAAATCTTGATAATAAAATTTAAATAAAACCCTCTAAGAATTACTTACACAGTTACAATATTTTAGACATGCCAGGTTTCACTACTTAACAGAAATTGGTGCATCAACAGAAATTCTAAAAGCAAACGGAAAAGTGGTCTTTCCTTTTCTCGTTGCGTTGTCCAATAATCATTTTCTTTTGGACCATGTACAGCATTAGGGGGTGGTAAATTTTCATTTTGAAAAACTAGAAGATAAAAGGATTGTGAAGTAAAATCTTTTAAAGATAATTCTTCATAAGTT